GCACTCACGGACGCTGCTTGCGGGGAGGCTTTGCTTCCGCCTGACACTCCTGCTGCTGCTGCTGCTGCTGCGGCGGCGGCGGCGGCGGCGGCTGCGCATTCGGAAGAAGAAGCTGCTGCTGCTGCTGCTGCAGCAACTGCTGCTGCACAACTAGAGACAACTGCACACCGTGGCTTCCTTGACAGCCTGCACCTTGACTGCAGCAACAACGCCGCAGCTGAGGAGAGCAGCACCAGCTTTATCGTGGTCAGCAGCAGCAGCAGCAGCAGCAGCAACAACAACAAGAGCCGATGGAAGCCGCAGCTGCAGCAGGCGAGGCTGGGCCCCGTGGGCTCCTCAATTGTTTCTCCTGCTGCAGGAGACACATCTCCTGCGGATGGCCAAGCTTTAGCGGAGCCTCTCGAGGCAGCAGCAGCAGCAGTAGCAGCAGCAGCAGCAGCAGCACCAGAAGAAGCAGCAGCAGCACGGGCGGCAGCAGCCGCTGCAGTACCGACTGCAACAGACGCTGCAGCAGCAGCAGAAGAATGCGATGAAGCAGAAGTGGGAGAAGAAACAAGAGTAACAGTTCCTGCGCTGGTGCGGCAGTTCGAGTGTTTGAAGTCCCCCTTCCGCTGCAACTCCGCTGCTGCTGCTGCTGCTGCTGCTGCTGCTCCAGGAACACCCCACAGCGCGGTCTCTCCCTGCAGCAAACGAGCCAAGTTCAAACCGCAGCTGCTCAGCAGCGAAGCAGCAGATGAGGATTCTTCTGGTGCCCAGGCGGAAGCAGCCACAGCGACAGCAGCAGCAACAGCAGCAGCAGCAACAGCAGCAACGGCGCCAGAAGCTGCTGCAGCAGCACCAGCAGCAACAGCATTAGCGGCGACAGTCTCATCAGAGAGCAGCACGGAAGGAAGTTCAAGGCTGAGACGCTCGCAACGTCTGCTGAACGCCCAGCAACAACAGAAACAGCAGCACCAGCAGCAGCAACAGCAGCAGCAGCAGCCGCAACAGCTGCAGCAGCAGGGGGAGCAGAAACAGGAGAGGGCCGCTCGAGAACTCCGTTACAGGCGCCACAGCAGCGACACAAACAACAGCGGCGTCACCAGCAGCAGCAGTAGCAGCAGCAACAGCAGCAGCAGCACAGCCAAAAGTAGCAGCGGCATCAAAAGCATGTGCAGCAGCGGCAGCAACACCAGCAGTGCTGGCAACTGCAGCAACGACGGCAGCAACGGCGACAGCAACAGCACCAGTACTGGCAGCAGCAGCAACGAAGGCAGCAACGGCGACAGCAGCATAAGCAGCAGCAGCAGCAGCAGCTCCTGTTTTCCCAGTGTTTACAATTTGCCTACGTCAGCAGACAGCGCCACAGCAGTGCAGCAGCGGGAGCTGGGTCGGCAGTTCGTGCTGCAGTTGGGGGCCTTAATAATGGCAGGTAGCAGCAGCAGCAGCAACAGCAGCAGGAAGCTGCTGCTGCCGCAGTTAGAGCCTCTCAGAATAGCAGCATCGAAGCTAAGCCTGTACGACTTCTCGAGCTCTGCTGCTGCAGCGCAGCAGCAGGCCTTTGCAGACGAAGCAGATAATACCCCCGCGAGCAGCAGCAGCAACAGCAGCAGCAACAACGCCGGGGAGCAGCAGCAGGTCGGCCGGCGGTGCTGCACGTCAGACGCATGCAGCAGCAGCAGCGACAGAAGCTGCAGCAGCAGTGCCCGGTTGCACGGCAGCCTGCAGGGGGCTTTTGCTGCGCAGCTGCAGCAGCAGCAGGGGAAACTTCTGAAGCACTGTGCTACGGCGCTGAGCGAGCCAGGCGCCTCATCTGCAGCAGCAGCAACTGCAGCAGCAGCAACAGCAGGAGCCGCAGCAGCAGCAAACCAGGAGATTTGGATTCGCCTGCTCTGCCGCTGCCCTGTCTCTCCAGTGCAGATTTCCTTCAGTCGTTCTTCTCGAAAAGCTGCTGCGGCCCCGCTGCAACAGCAGCAGCAGCAGCAAGAGCAGCTGCAGCAGCAGGAGCTTTTAAGTTCCTTGCAGCAGACTTCGATGGGCGATTCAGCAGCAGCAGCACTGGCAGCTGCTGCTGATGCTGCTGCTCTTGGGGCCACTCTGGAAATGGCGGGCAAGCGGCTGCGAGTCCCAGCTGCCAGCAACAGGTGCAGCAGCAGCAGCAACCGCAGCAGCAGCAGCAGCAGCAGCAGCAGCTTGGGGACAAGCTCTTCAGCAACTCGGCGGCGGTCTTTCGGAGACCGGAGTGTTGCTGCTGTTGCTGTTCAGAATGCTTCTGCTGCAGCAGCAGCAGCAGCAGCAAACGAAAGGGGTAGCAGAGCCCACTGGTGTGAATGCTTTGTGAGCATATCCTGCAGAGCAGCAGCAGCAGCTGCTGCTGATGACGCTGCTGCGGATGACGCTGCCGCTGATCCTGCTGCGGTGGACAGCAAGAGGCTGCTGCAGCAGGAGCGAGACGCAGCAGCAACGGCAGCAGCGGCAGCAGCAGAAAAGAAGGCCGCAGCAGCTGCAGCAACGGGGAAGAGCGCCACTGCTGCAGTGGCAGCAGCAGCAGCAGCAGCAGCTTACAGCAGCAGCAGCAGCAAGTGCACTTACTTGGTGAAAGTGTCGAATGAGCGGCCGTCGAGTGACCGCCTCTTCTGGGCCATGCCTGCTTCGGACATGCGGCAGAGCAGCAGCAGCAGCAGCAGCAGCAGAAGCAGCAGCAGCTGGAAGCTGCTGCAGATCCCCCAGGGAGTTTCTTTAGAAGATTCTGTAGAGGAATTAATGTCCAAACAAAACTTCTTGTTGGAGCTCAAAAACAGAGTCCACAGAGGAGGCCGCATGCGCGAAACTCTCTGACGCTGCATGCAACCGGGCCCCACACCATCCATGCATGCATGTACGCACGCATGCATGCATGCATGCATGCATGCATGTACGCATGCGTGCGTAAACAATATGCAAGCATGCATGCGTGCATGCATGCATGCGTATTGCGCATGCGTGCCTGTGTGTGTATGCATGCATGCCCCCGTTATGTCGTGCATGCATGCACGTGCATGCACATGTATGCATGCATGCCTACATGCATGCGTGGCCGTTGCATGCATGCATGCATGCATGCATGCATGCATGCATGCATGCACATTGTGCGTGCATGAGTTGCGTATAGCGCGGATTGACCTCCGCATATCTGGCCATGCTTTACAGTTTGCAGTGGCTTTTTAGTCCTCAGACTGCTTGCTTCTTTTGCCTGCTGCCACAGCAGCAGCAGCAGCAGCTGCTGCTCTGCCTCTACAGAGGCCTGCGCAGCAGGACCAGCGCGCAGCAGCTTTTGGGGCTTCCCCACAGAGTATTTACAGCCATTTCCGCCCACTGCGCGGCCAGTTGTCTGCGCTGTGGCTGCAGCAGCAGCAGCAGCTGCTGCTGCTGCTGTTGCTGCCGTTGCCTTGTGCTTTGCAAGGCTGAAAAGAAAACGGCCTCTGCAGTAATTTTTAAGTGCTGCTGTTTGCTGCTGCTGCTGCTGCTGCTGCTGCTGCTGTGCTTTGTGGCCTAGTGTCCAAGAGGTGATGAATAAATAAATACAAGTAGGAGTTGCAGCTTCTGCTGCAGCAGCAGCACAGGCTGCTGCAGCAGCAGCACAGGCTGCTGCAGAAGCAGCACAGGCAGCAGCGCACCGTCCGAACTAGCCAAGCTCCTAGTTCAGCAGCAGCAGAAGCAGCAGCAGCTACTGCTGCTGCTGCTGCTGCACCCTGGGGGGTTAGCCTGTAAGTTTCTGAGTTTGTTAGAATGCAGAAAAGAGCTTTTGGTAAAAGAATTAAAGAAAGAAGGTTCGACAAGGAGGCGCCGTCCAGCAGCTGCAGCAGCAGCAGCAGCAGCAGCAGGGTGGAGGCCGCTCTGCAGCGCTGCTGCAGCAAGGCGCTGCTGCTGCTGCTGTCCCAACTCAAAATCTTCACTCGTCGCTGAAGTCGCTGTCGAACGCCTCCAGGGCATCCTGAGGTGTACAGACACACAAAATGGAGGTCCTTTGCTGCTGCTGCTGCTGCTGCTGGCCCGCTGCAGCAGCAGATATGCTCCAGCTTCCTGTTCTGTCGCTGCACCAAAGGCCTGTTTGCTGCCAGAAAACTTACGCCAAGGGGAGAGACAGCTGCATCTGCTAGTGCGGTCTGCTGCTGCTGCTGCTGCTGCTGCAGCAGCAGCACGAAAGGGCCTTCACGGCTTACCTCTGCTGCAGCTACTGCTGCTGCCTGCGTCTTTGTCTCCAGTGCGTTGCTTGTCTCCTTTCGTTTCTTTCTGGGGCCCTCGTGGTCAGTCTGCTGTTGCTGCTGCTGCTGCTGCTCTTGCTGCTGCTGCTGCTGCTGCTCCAGCTCTGCCCTCTTCTTCTCCTTTTGTCTGCGTCTCTTCAGCTGCTTCGCAGTTAGGGTTTCTTCAATTGCTGCAGCAGCAGCAACACCCCACACGCAGCAAGAAGCATTGCAGCAACGCTGCCTTTATCAACGAAGGCTTCTGCAGCAAGCCTGCACTACTGCTGCTGCTGCTGCTGCTGTTGCTGCTGCTGCCCACCCTTCTTCTTGCGGTGTTCTGCTGCTGCTGCTTCATCTTTAATGCCATCGGCCATCGCCTGCTGCCTCTCCTTAACTAGTCTTTCGCTGCAGCACGGACACCGCAGCAGCACCAGCGCAGCACGGCTGCTACCCTGCTGCAGCTGCTGCTGCAACAGCAGCAGCAGCTGCAGCAACAGCTGCAGCACTGCTGCTGCCGTAAACGCAAGCACATTGCCTGACAGCCGCAGCAGCAGCTTCAGCCACAACGAGGGCAGCAGCAGCAGCTTCAGCAACAACCAGGACAGCAGCAGCAGCAGCAGCAGCTCGTCTCACTAGAAGGCCAAAATGGGCAGCTGCTGCCGCTCCTTCTCTATTGGAAGAACAGCAACTCGACCGACGGGCAAATCAGTGAGAGACAGCCGCAGCCTCTTTACTGTTTCTGCGCTTGCTGCTGCTGCTGAAGAGAGCTGCTGCAGCTTCTTGGCTGCCCCGAAGTGCTGCAGCAGCAGCAGCAGCAGCAGGCGCACGCACGCATGCACACCGCGAACGCAACCGCCGCAGCAGCACTTATCTACACAGCCCTGCAGCAACCAGCGCTAGGCCCATGCCTGCAACGGAGCAGCAGCAGCAGCAGCAGCAGCAAAAGCACTCACGGCACATTTCTTCGTAATTTGCTTCAAAGAAGACAAAATTGGCAGCAGCAACTCCGGCAGCGCAGGATGCGCAGCAAGCTGCGCCAAGTGGCCCGCCAGCACGTAAGTGCCGAAGTCCACGAGTGACTCCAGCGCCTGCAGCAGCAGCAGCAGCAGCAGCAGCAGCGGGCGGGGTGAAAGAAAGTGCTGTTGTTTCTTGAAAAGGCAACGGCAGCCACAGGAGTGAGGGCCGTAAAGCAGCTGCGAAGGACGCTACCGAAGCAGCAGAAACGGCAGCAGCAGCTGCTGCTGCTGCAGCTGCTGCTGCTACTGCTGCTGCAGCAACAGAGCCTACGTGGATGGAGTTCTGCTCCGCATGGTCAATCTTGAGGCAAGTCTCTGCATGCGCCGTAGCAGCAAGCTGCAACTTGAGCTGCTGCGGTGCAGCAGCGTCAGTCTTTGCTGCTGGTCTCTTCCTTTTGTTGTGCTGCGGCGCTGCTGCTGCTGCTGCAGCGGCGCTGCTGCCGCGCCTGCAGACTGCTGCGTGCTGCTGCAGCAGCAGCTGCAGCACAGCAGCGAGAGAAGAAGCAACGGGCACAAGAGCATCTGCTGCTGCTCCTGCCTTTGCAAGAATGTCCAGGAGGTTGAGGCAAAAGGGGGCGCTGGCGAGCTGCTGCTGCTGCTGCTTGACTGCAGCAGCAGCAACGGACACGAGAGGCAGCAGCAGCGGCAGCAACCGCCCCTGCTGCAGCAAAATGGAACTTCCCCACAACCCGCAGCTCTGCACAAAAGACCAGCTGAACAGCAGCGCATGCACTTGCTGCTGCCGGTGTCTTTTGCGGTGTGCTGCTTTGCTTCTGGCCCCCCCCTTCTTGCTGCTGCTGCTGCTGCTGCTGCTGCTACTTGCTGCAGCAGGGGCTGCTGCGCCTCCTGCTGCCACGGCGCTGCGGACCGTCAGAGCCAACTGCGCACACACGCACGCCCAGCGCCCCGCTGCTGCTGCTGCTGCTGCCGCTAGGGTTTAGGGTTTAGGGTTTAGGGTTTGAGTACCTCTCGAATGGACTGGTAGGCAACTCTGTAAGCTGTAGAAGCTGCTGCTAAAGACAGCAGCTCTTTCATTTCATTCAGCAGCAGCTGCATGCGATTTGCTGCTCTCCAAGTTCGCCGCAGCCCCAGCCTTGCTGCAGCTCTTTGGTAGGACCGCAGCAGCTGCTGCAGCAGCTGCTGCTCCTTCAGCTCCGCAGCAACAGCTGCTGCTGCTGCTGCTGCGCCCCCGCCGCCCTTCCGACCCTTCGCAGTGCCCTGCGCTGCACCTGCTGGCTGCTGCTGCTGCTGCAGCAGCAGCGTGCTCCGCAGCACAGCAAATGCTGCTAGCTGCTGCTGCGGCTCCTGCGAAAAGGCCCAGCAGCGGCAAACCACCTGCAGCAGCCGCCGTGCTGCTGCTTCCTGCGCGAGGCCCCACCGCAGCAGCTGTTTGCTGCTGATGGCCAGCAGCAGCTGCAGCACCAGTTCCCTGCTGCCTGCTGCTGCTGCTGCTGCTCCTGCCTGCCGCATCGTCAGAAGCAAATGGGTTATGTCCCCCCAGAAGCCTTTCACCAGCCAGCGCAAGCTGCCGGTCACCTCAGGCGCAGCAGCAGCAGCAGCTGCTGCTGCTGCTGCGCTGCTGCTGCTGCTGCTGCGGCAAGAAAGGCCCGTAAACAAATGATCTGCTGCTCGCACAACAGCAAGAATTACAAATGAACAAGTTTCTGCATCTGGCAGAACAAATAAGGTTCCGGCCTTGCGCTGCTTCTGCTGCTGCTGCTGCTGCTTCAGCTGCTTGAGGGCCGCTTTGCTTTGCTGCTGCTGCTGCACCGCGCCGTCCTCGTCCACCTGCAGCTGCTTCGCAGCTTTGAATTTGCTGCGCTCCCCTGCATTTGCTGCTGCTGCTATTGCTGCTGCTCCTGCTGCTGTTGTGTTCTGCTGCTTCGGCGCCAGCTGCAGCACGGCGGAGTGCAGCGCCTCCAGCAGCAGCTTGGCCCCCCGAAGGGTCCCCAGCTGCTGCTGCTGCTGCTGCTGCTGTTGCTGCGTTGCTGCTGCTGCCGGCTTACTGAGAGGGTCTATGCCCACTGCCTTGCAGATGCCCAGAAACCGTTCTTGCGTCAGCATTCTTTTCTGCTGCTGCTGCTGCTGCTGCCGCTGCTGCTCCCGCTGCTGCTGCCGCGGGGCGTCCTGAGCCTCGTCGTTGCTCTCTGCTGCTGCAGCAGACTCCTCCCCGCTGCTGCTGCTGCCGCTGCTGCTGTTGCCCTCCCCGTGGCCCTTCTCAGAAGCAGCTAAAACAAAATCCAAAAACTCCGGATGGTTTTGCTTCAGCTGCTTCCCCAAGGCCTCTTGAAACCCATCTTGGGGGGCCCCCAGGGGGCCCCCCCTGGGGGCCCCCAGGGGGCCCCCCCGGGGCCCCTCCAGGTCTTCTTCATAAACCCCAGCGTCTTCACTTTCTATTTCGCTGTCGCTGCTGCAGCGCAGCTCCTCGCTGCTGTCAGCTGAAGTAACCCCACTGCTGCTGCTGCTGCAGCTGTCTGCTGTTGTTGCTGCTGCTGCTGCTGTTCCTCCTGCTGAGCCTGTTGGGAACTCGTCTTCAGCGCTGCTGTCGCCGCCACTGCTGCGCTCTTGCTGCGCCTTCCTCTTCCTCTGCTGTTGCTGCAGCTGCTGCTGCTGCAGGTGCTGCTGCTGCTGCTGGCCCTTTTTGTGGGGCCCTCGGCTGCCCTTAGGGGCCCCTAGGGGCCTCCAGGGGCCCCTGTGGCTGCTGTTGGGGCCCCCGCGTTTGGGGCCCTCAGCAGCAACATTGTGCCCTTTTGCCATAGTGCTGCTCTTCCCAATGCTGCTGCTGCTTCTGCTGCTGCTGCTGCTGCTGCTGATCTCGAAGCAGCTCTGTGGAGCCCAGGGGCCTCCTCGCCCCACAGGAGGGCCTCAAGGTTGCTGCAGGCGGCTTTGCTGCTGCTGCTGCTGCTGCTGCAGCCTTTTTTCAAATTTTGTTGAATTTAAATTCATCTAATTTTAATTAATTTATATTTTCAAAAAGGTTAAACAATTTGCAGCGCATGACTCCATAGCCGAACGAAGGACGCAGGGGCTGCTGCTGCTGCTGCTGCTGCTGCTGTAGCAAGCGTGGGGCCCCCCACTCCGGGCCTCGAGGGGCCCCCTTCGTTTTGTTTTTGTCTAAAAGAAATATTATTTTAAATTTAAATTATTTGCATTCAATTAAATAAAAAATCCATAGAATTTCTTTCTAGCGGAAAGAAGCAGCAGCAGCAGCAGCAGCGGGGGCCCCCGTAGCAGCAGCGGGGGCCCTTGCAGCAGCAGCAGGTGCCCACGCAGCAGCAGCAGGAACCCGAAGCAGCAGCAGCAGCAAGAGCCGGGGCCCCCCGCACCAGCTGCAGCAGGGGGGGCCCCAGCAGCAGCAAAAGGGCCCAAAGACCTCTAGGGCAAAGGCCCCCCATGGGGCCCCCCATTTTGAAGGAAATTAAGAGAATGAAAAAAAATATAAATAAAAAATAATTAAAAATTAAAATCTAGGATGGAAACATTAAATTAAAATTAGAAATAAAATAGAATTAATAAATGGGCATTAGAAATGAGGAAAAGAAAAGAAAAATGAAGAAAAGAATTTCGCAATAATAATCATAATTCATATTCACAATAAAACTGGAGAATGGAAAGAAGAGAAAACGAAAAAAGGAGAAAAAGAAATAAAAATCAAATAAAAATAAAAACCAACAAAAGAATAAAAGAGCAAAGGATGCAAGACGACAAGAAGACAAAGAAGGAATTCAGGCTTTTCTATTTGGAGGCTCTCAAATAGTCCTATTATTTGTCATATGCTGCAGCAGCAGCAGCAAAGGCAAAGGCAGCAGCAGCAGCAGAAACTAGAGCAGCAGCAGCAGCAGCAGAAAGGCAGCAGCAGTAGCAGAAGCAGCAGCAAAGGTTCGTAAGCTCCTGCTGCTGCTGGGCCGCTCGTGCTGCAGCAGAAAAGACAGCAGATTTGTCTTTAGGATTTCTTCGAAGCAGCAAAAGGATGACTATTGCATACAACTTAATTTGTCTACGCAGCAGCAGCAGCAGCAGAAAAGGGAGCAGCAGCCGTTAGGGCCTCAGTGGGTCCCTGGGCTACGGAGGCCTTGCCTGAAGCCGCTGCTGCTGCTGCAGCGACAGCAGCTGCTGCTGCTGCTGCTGCAACAACTGCTGCTGCTGCTGCTGCGCAAGCGCAGCGCGGGCGAGTCTGTGGCGCTGGAGGCCTGGCTTTGGGTTTTTTCTGCCAAGAAGTAAAACTTTTTCTTTTTAATTTAAAATAAGGAGTTAAAATTTTAGAAACCTTTTTCTGCTGCTGAGGAGCTGTGGGGCCGCGATTTAAGGGGGTCTTTCTGGGAAGTTTGGCCCACCGCCTCTACAGGCAAAGTGGCAAGTGGAATTACCCAGCGGTGTCTGGCCCCCGAGGGCCCCTCTAAAGGCCCAGAGGCAGCCCCAGACACGCTGGAAGTCTTTTAATTGTTTTTTTAAATGTTTTAAATTGCATTTTAAGTAGATTTTGGGGGGAAATCTGTGGAGAAATAGGGGCGGGAGGCGCGTGCCGCTGCTGCTGCGGCTGCTGCAGCTGCTGCTTCCGGCTGCTGCGAGGGGCGCCTCCGCGCGCCGCTGCTGCTTATTTGTATTACAAATAAAGATTTTGAAAAGACTTTCAAATTAAAGTAAACATTTTGGCGAGTTGAAATGGGAATTGGGGAAAAGGAGCTGCTGCAGTGCCTCGCGTCTCGGGGTGGCTGGCCGGCGGTGCGGCCTCCCCTCCGGGGCAAGTGGCTGGGGTGTTGCGCTCGGCTTTGCGGCGAAAGAAAGGGCAAAGTTGAATAATAAGAGAAGTTAAAGAAAGAAAAAACTTTTATTTCCGCGTTTGGATTGGGCGGTTGGCGCGGCGAGGAGGACCGTCGGGGCCCGCTCATGCGCCCAGGCTTGGAGCAGCAGCAGCAGCAGCAGCAGCAG